GAACATGTACTAAGGCGCTCACCTGGACTTCACGGACAGTCCCAGCAGTAGAGCTTACCCGCTAGGCTAAGATACTGTTGGCATTTGACGGGGTGAATTAGAGTCTCTTATAGCCACTGACCTGCAGAAAGCTTTGGGAAAATAAAAAAATCACCCCTGGGATTCGAACCCACTGTCTAACGACCTCATAACCGCGAGCTTAACCGCTCGGCCATCTCAGAGGTATTGCTTTTGCTCTTCATATCAAGGAGATAGCAACATCATTAACCTTATGCACAGAATGTTGCTGTTTGTGTAAAGATTTAGTGATTAAAACGCTACAACAGTGCCGAGTCGTGTAGTAAAAATACACATTCATACAAACGATGGTCGTCAACATTACATGTTCTCCCTGGTAGCTTCTCTTTATTATTTTAAATGAGCGCACATCAATACGGGCAAGTCCCCGGGCCACGTCTTATACGCCTGTATAGGCCTAGATGTCCGAATTTCACAGTATTATGTGAATGGTACGCCATTTTTCCTTTTTTGGGGGGGTGGGGTTGGTTTTCTCATTTTCTTTACTAGCATAAAATCAGGAACCCAATAGTTATACTACATCACATGTTCTGTTGTGTTGTGGATCTCATATATAGCATATGGACGCGTTGCGCTCATGAATATGGATATGCTCGTTAGCATAAGTACAAAAAAGGCAACGAAACACCCTTTGAAAATACTGAAACAAAAGTTGGAAGTTGGGTTAACTGTGACAGAAAGGTGCATTTTGAAGGTTTGAATTAACTTGACAAATAGATTGCAGCAATCCTCTGAAAAAAACTTGCAAATCTAGATTGTCAAAATGTATCTTGGATAAAGATGAAACCTATGTCGTATGATCACGTCATCCTTTACGCCATTTCATAAGTCAGTCTGAGTACAAACCAGTGTTGGAGTAAAGGTTTTGATTCTCAAGGCCAAGACTTTGACCCGCAAGCCTTAAGACCAAGGCCAAGACTTAAGCCTCAAGGTCAAACTCTGCAGTGTAAAGATACAAGCCGCCATATTAGAACGAATCATGACTTAATTATCGTCGAATCGGCAGATATTTCTAGTACCAGCCTATTCGTTATTTTATTACAGTGATATAAAATCTGCGATAGGTGATAAGTACAATGAGTACTACATGACATGTGTTCAAGATAAGATCACGGCGTGGAAAGTGAGATAATTCTAGTCAGCATAACATCAGTTCCCAAGCGCAGTACTATTCTCAGAGATTTGATCACTGGTCCACACCACAGATCAGAATAATGATGGTCTACAATCCCTGCCAAAATTGTTGGGTCACGTATCAATAGACATACATGTGTAGTTACCCTCCATAGGTCCCTCAATGCCCCGCTCAATGGTGTCATATTGAGCTGGAGCGCAGGCTGCGCATCGACACCCAACACTGAGAGGGGGGCCGGGGCCCCAACGAGATTAAATTTTGGCCAGGATTATCTGAATTGGTCCACAGTTCTGTATGTGTCTGCCGTGCCATTTGGCGTGTGTTTTCTAGCGTTGTTGTCGGAAAACCAAACTGACAGCCGACTCTTAAGTGTAGACAAATGTAATTTTCGGGTAAATCATACAAGAAAAAGCAAGACAATTATCCATGTTGAATTGTGCAAGTCACAAATGTTTTGCAGGAGTGCATTTTAGACGTCACCATGGCATTTCGGGCAATAAACTGACATTTAGTTACTTCGAAAGGGGTCGGGGATTGGACGCCCGACGAGATTTGTCCAGGATTGAAGCTCAATGGCAATATGCTGAAACGACTTACCGAAGTCGTCCCTTTGTAAATGTGAATACACTGCTACTTAAGAATATCTGTCCCCTACCCAATGGATCTTAGAGAGCATGTGTCTCCCCTGGTAAATGTGTTCCCATGCAACGTCACAAGCCTAGCATCCAGACTGAAATTACTTTATTTCAACTGTTTTCGCGGAGCGTCTAGACGTTTCTTGAATGCCTGTTACGTCAAAGTGCAACGATTGGGCGACGAGGAGAGCTCAGCCATACAGCTAGCCTAGGCAATCAAACGCATGTACGATGCACACATGCTCATGTAGTATGTGACACGTTGACGACAACTACATGCAAAAATTTGCAGAATATAGACGGATTGTTTCTGATTTCTTACAAAAACACAGCTCGATTGATTTGGCATATCGAAAATGTTTATTTTTTACTGTGACAACTTGTTGAAGGGCAGGCTCAAATGTATTTCCTGTTGACTGAATTCATCAAAATAACATGAACATGACAACTTCTGTGGCAAACCTACTGAAACTAAATGGAGAAGACAGAATAACATGGAGGGGCCAGAGTTAACAGGCCAAGGGGAACACTTTCACCTAGGTTAGTCCTTCCAATTGAACAGTTTTACCGAGGGACAAATTTATCATCTAAACCAGGTTTCCATGTGTCTGTTTTTATTTTACCTTCACAGAGCACTGCTAAATCAAGCAAGAGCGATAAACCAACACCAACAGTTAACAGGGCCTGCGGCGACGAAAATTCAAACACGGTAAGTAGATTTCAGGAAATCAACCCTTCAGTAGCAAATGAAATAGTCAACTTATCAGTTTTTTATGAAAACTATCACTTTGAACTCTGTGTATTTTATTCACTATCAAGGTTTCGTCGAGTGTTGAAAGTACTAAAAATAAGACACCCCAAAACCGCAGCCAGAACGAAGTTGGTTCGGGAACGGGCAAAGCAAGACGCAGTAGGCAGCACTGCGCCCTCAACGACGGAAGGAAGGAAGCCCAAAGTTCGACCAAACCCCAAGAGTGTGCTGGGAGGACGACATTAATTTAGGTCATGTCTGATTGGAGGATGTTATCGTGTGTAGTAGTGTCTTATTTGTATTGGTCCGTGAATTTTGAAGACTTTTTTGCGGTTCACAAAGGCTGAACGAGCTACCGTGCTTTAATTTAAAATCGGGACGCATCAGCCGAGATCGATGCAAACTATTTTTTATGCGAGTCGACAGACTGAACAAAATTTTAGAATGACTGAGCGTCCCGTGTAGTGACAAAGGATGGGGACTCAGAAGATTTAATTGAGAGAGTCAAAATCAAGCCAAGATTTTACTCTCGATGTCAACTTCCTTTGATTGGATTCCTTTAGCCCAGTGACGTATTTGGGGTGAAATTTCGGCAGGATGGGGAATGGGATGCAAGCGTTTTGTTAGGGGACACTGAAAGCAAATGAGCTGTAGCTAATAGGGTTTGTTCAGTTGAAGATTCATCCCCTGGGGGATTCATATCCCGTGCCCCCCCCCCCATTATATCAGTCAGTGGCTTAAATCTGTGTCGGAAATTGGGGGAGGGGGGGCAGTGGGGGAGGACTTGCCCGGCCATGGAAATTAAAAAAGCGGGGGGCCATATACACTATACATGTATAGGGGGCGATGTTGATGATAAAGATGTACATCTGTAATGCGTGTCAAATTCATGCAGAATTTTACATGAGAATGGGTATGTTTGTGGCTTTTTAAAATTACTTTCCCTTTTTAGTGATATTGCAAACATCTTAGTCGTCGGGAAGTCCTGAAAATGTTCTTCAAAATCCGCTTAAATGTTTTCGCTCATTACAAAAAAATTGGGAGATTATTCAATAGCCCGTCCCTCAACTCAAAAAGGTGGGATATATACCCCCTCCCCCGTAATTTACGCCCATGATGACAGTGCTGTAGTTACGGTTTGTTGGTGTTGTAGCAATGTAAATAGATCGCATATAATACGACTGGCGTAAAGTCTTTTTTAAATTGCCAAGGCAGGCATATAAAACAACTGCCTATACTCAAATTAAAATCGCTCACAAGTTTTATTTGTTTTTTTCTTTCGTTTTGATTTGTTTTTTAACGAACAATTTTAAAGACAGATGGTGTCTTGATCCGTGGGTACCTCTAACGCGAGCACTGACAGACCGTGTCGCGTGTTTCAGCTTCTGCACCCATGGGAGACGGATTTGTAGGCATTACCCTGTAAACTTTTGTCTCGCCTTTTCAGTGGAAAAAGTCGTGCACATATAAAGTCTGACTTTTTGAGGAACAGTTTGGTGGCATATCATGAATAGTCAGGGCGGATCCGTGGGGGCGCCCCTTTATTCACCCCCCAAAAAATTTTAAGAAGAAGAAAAAAGGGAGGGAGAAGGAAAAAGAGGGGTCATTTTTGCCAGAAATTGCACCAAAGGGGGCCTTGAATCGAAATGTGCCCAGGACCCTATATCCTAACTACACGCTTGCGGGCATTTTACCAATGTTGCTTTCGTTCACCCCCCCCCCCAGGAAGATCCTAGATCCTCACCTGACTGTTTGTCTAAATGTCATGCATGGGGAGAGCGGGGCTTACTGGATCAGTGCATTATCTGAGCATGTTGTTTATAAAGAAATGGAAAGAACTGGAATACGGTGGTCCCAATAGTCAAAAGGTGTTTCACCATAATGAAACTAAAATAAGCAGTAGAACGTGTTAAAAATATAATAGCGTCTCTTTTTAAGGCAGAAAACAGTTTGAAAGGCTGTTATGTATCCAAATTTTATTGGGTTCGTACATTATAAGTAACGTTCAAGGTTTTTCAGTGCCTGCATATTTTAGCTTGTTCCGGGTTTTCCAACTTTAATACGCTAAGTGACGTTTTACGGAAGACTCAAGTGTTATAGTGGATGCTCTATCAATTCACTTGGTTGATCTCACGCTTTGGAATTCTTGAAACCTTCCTCTTCATACAAGGACCTTTTGACCTTTATGACTTTGTGCCCGCGAAAAATAAAATTACACCCCCCTCCCAAAAAAACCACTTTCTTTTTTCAAGCTGGATGTAACGTTTTTAATTTTGTATTATTTTTGTCTTCAGTTGATTGGATTTTTTTTTACATATTCATCAATTCACTTCCCATTCAATTTTGAGTTTTATGTTTAGGTTTTTATGTCAGCCTGTTTTTGTAAATGCACAACCTTCATTTGAATAAAATTGAGGAAATTTTGTTTTGACTGCTCTCCAATTCTCTTGAAGTTGATTTTTTTTCGAAAAGGCGTCCTTCATAAAATCCTGAAGATCAGAAAAGAGTGATATCTTGGCATACAAACGTGAATAATGAATGGCATACTTCACCTGTGCTCTGTACCTGAGTTTGATGATAGTGCTGCAGGAAACGGGATACAACAATCCGTTCAATAGAGGAAAAATATTTTAAAAGTGCTCTCGACACTCCAAACGCTCGTTCCTATTTAAAGGACATTGAGAATTGCGAAGTGCCCTTCAGAGACCTTCTCGAAGTAACACGTCACACCAACAGATCCGTTAAGCATTGTTGGCTACTCGCTGCTGTATCAAAGCACGCGCATGCGTCAAACTCACAGAAGTGCTGATCTCATTAATGACCAGATGAACTCTATCCAATGAGTGCTCGAAAAAAAAGTGCGTTCAATTGCGCCGTGCAATGATCAGGGCGCAGTTGACGAGGGTGTTACGTAGCTGTGCGGAGGAGGCAGATTATATAATTTGTATCTAAAACAGGTCTTGAAACAGAAATATTTTGCCAACTGCAGTTGTTGATTTCACTGAAATGGCTGCAGTAACTGATTTAGCATGCTAAGGGCCGTCGGACTGAAGTTTTTAGAGATAATGTAAACAGACATTTTATAGCAACCCATCGATTTAAAAATTTGCAAATGTACAGACTGAGTTGCCCGGATGGCTTTAGTGAAGCTGCTGGACGCTTACTTTGGAAGTGACTGGAACACACAGGTCACTCACCAGGAATTCCAGATGGCTTTTCCAGAGGAGACTCAGGTAAGTTTTTGGGTGCTGCTGTAAGGTTGAACGGGAGGGTATTTGAAGGGAACAGCGATGGATGCGCGCGATGGGGGTGCAAATTAAAGCGCAGTTATAATAGGCATATTGCTGTAGTGGTTTGCACGGGACGCCTAGACCAAGCCTTAAAAATTGAAGTAACGTAAAAAGTGACTACCGCAGAGATTTCTTAAATTTTGTTTTACTGAAGCAGTCTACATGTATTTATTTATTTATTGACGCAGATGTTTTTTGGCAAACTTTTCAACACATTTGACGAGAATGGAACTGGGGTAGCCAGTTTTGAAGACTTGAGAGAGAAACTACGCCGTGTAGACTCTCTATCAGACTTAGCCAAGCTTCGCTTCATGCTGGAACTACAAGATGATAATGGTAAGAGATAATTAATGGCTTGCTCTCGCTCAGAGTGGAACAAAAGAGGGCGCGTTTGTAAATGATAATGGCGGTCCTAATGGTACCAAGTACCAACCATTGAGTCACCATAAATGTGCGTGCAAGTTCATTCGCATTTGACGCTGAGTATACGCACAACGAATTTATTCTGGAATGTATGGTCTTTGCACACACGTAGAACATGTGCAAAAACCCGGTTGTAATCATCTGTCTTTCTTTCGCCGATTGGGGGTGCACTTCAGCTAGCGGATATTTTGTCATGGGCAAGATTTTGAATGCTTCTTTAGCTCAATTTATTAAAAAAAACAACCTTTCCTTTGAATATTTAATCGACATCAATCTTGGGCACAGAATGAAACTTGAAATGAAAAACTTTTTTCATGGCAGGAAGCGGACTTATAACTTTGGAAATCCTAAAGATATCTCTTCAAATATGGACTTTGTCAGAGGGACAGACCGATCATGTCCGGGAGCATATAGACTTCATCCTGGGAGCACTGCGGCCCTCGATAGTCCTTGATGATGAAGACGGACTTGCGGGGATTGACGAGATTTTGCGAGAGGTGGAAGAGAGCAGAATTTTAGCTCTGCTGACCAGGTGATCATTATTTTTGATACAGCGCTGAAACCTCGCTCCTGACTCGGCGCATTTCCGATTCTTACCCATTGGCAATTCATTTTATCACTTATTCATTTTATTGGTTATTGTTGTTCATTCGGGCATCTAAATTATTTAGTTATTTCTTATAGGTTTCAAACAGGCGCGTGTATCTCCCTTTAGTTTCACTTAATAAGTCATTTTTTGAACACAAACTGAACCTGGTCTATTTATTTGTAAACTAAGGGGCTCTGGAAGTGCCATCCGACTTGTTGAGATCCCGAAATGTTTTTCTTGGGATGACGACATAATAAAGGCAAGATGTCGACATCCTGAGATAATTTATCACGGGCTGACAATACATGTATCGTAAAAGTCGGATGATGTCATCCTCAGATAATTTATCATGGGACGAAGACATCGTAAAAGTGGAATAACGACATCCTGAGATAACTTATCATGGGATGATGACATCGTGAAAGTTGGATGATGACATCCTCAGATAATGACGATAATCATTATCTCAGGATGTCGTCATCCCATGCTCAAGTATTACAAGATATCGTCATCCAGTTGTTACGATGTCATCTTCCCATGATAAATTATTGTAGGATGTCCCATCCAACTTTTACGATGTCGTCATCCCGTGATAAGTTATCTCAGGATATTGACATCCAATTTTTACCGTGTTGTCATTCTGTGATAAATCATCTCAGGATGTCGACATCCCGCCTGTATGATGTCTTCATCCCGAGAAAAAAATAAGTCAGGATCTCAGCAAGTCGGATGGCACTTCCAGAGCTCCGTAGTAAATAGTAACCTTTGTACTTTGCTTCATTTTCAGGGTTGAAGCACACTCGTCTGGTTCTCCCAAGTCCAACGCCCTAACGCCGCATCTGCCAATCGTAACGAATATTTTTTCCAGGCGGTACCTTCAATACAATCGTCGCAAAGTAATCTTCTGTGTTACGTGTTTGTTGATAAACTTGGCGCTCGTTTCAAGAGGCGTGAGCATCTACGAGAACCATTCCTACCTTCTGGTAATAGGTGAATTATTGTATGTGTGATATGTTTGGGTCGGCATAACTGCCGGAAATATTGGAACAAGTTTATCAATTTTAAGGTTAATGATTTTTAAAACAGAAAAATTTGTGCCCCCTATTTTCGCAGAAAAGAAAAAGAACATGTTTAAAAATTATTTTCCGTTGCCTGTTTCGGAGAAATGAAATCAAAATTATGTTGCTATTTCTAGTTCCTGTGCGCTTCGATCGGAATGGTGTCGATTGTTTATTTCTTTCGCTCCGGTGTAATCACCATGCGGCAGAAAATTTACTGGACTAATTTAAACCCTCAAGCTTTCAAGCTTGAAGACTTTTTGAATGCGTACCACCGCAAAATGTTCATACTAAACCAGCACTGGAAACTTCATTTGGGTCTGATATTTGACCCCAAAGTTAGCTTTTCAATGTATCTTCTACGTCAACATCTTTAAAGAAAATGCGTTATGCAGTATAATTCGTCGGGTTACTTCAGACAAGTGCTTCGAAACTGTGGCTTCAATAGTCTTTCTGGCACATTGTG